AAGAAAACATATGGAGTTGTCACAATTTTTTATTTAGACTTTTAATTAGGTCTTATTCCGATTGAACACTTGTAATAGCCCAAATTACACCAATCAAACACATTTAACACGGCTTGAAAATACTCCCTTAAGCGCGTATCTACAAGCGAAATATCTTGGAAATTGTGATTTAGTGATAACTGAATAGCTCAATTTCATGAAATTTTTAGGTGCAGGTTAATCGAAGATGATGTGATACAGGTAAACGTGTATGTATAAATTTTGTTTTTCTTTTTCAAGAAGAAAGGAGTATTAAACTATTAACTATGAATGTCACAAATGCCAATCCCGTAAATTAAACTATTACTAGGTAATTAAACTTTTCTCTCTCTCTTCTCTTGATATTATTATATTATTAGAGTTCCTAGGTAATTATGACTATGTGAGTATGTGTTACACACGGCTGATATTCCTTTTTACTTCTTTCTAAAATTAAAGAAGGAAGATTATCCAAAAATTCAAGCTTTAATTATTATACTAACTTATAAAAGAAATAACAATTAACTATATCTTACTTAAAATAATAAAAAGCTACTTGCTTAAGTTGTAGGTATCTGTCTTTGTCTTGTACCTATATATCAACGAACCCTATTTTTATCTTTAATTTTTTTTAAGCAAAAGACTACTTTACACCTCACCCCAATCCCATTGTACTCTTTAATTAGACCATTTCAACAATTATAGTTATTTTTTCGTTATTTATGAGAACTCGAACTTACTTAAGTTAATGATTGCTCCATCTAAAAATAAACTAGGGTTTTTGCAGATGAGCTGCAATATAAATACAACTTAAATACTTCTCTGATAGGATGTTCTTTAATTCTTCAAAGATTCTTGATTCTCAAAATTATATGATAATCTTGTTAGTTTAGTGGTTTTTTTTTTCTCAAGTGATAAAAATTCTATTTAGACAACATAGAATCATATTAATACTCTTTTCTTTTGATTTAGAATTATTGAAGCTCCTCGCTTTAATCAAAATAAAAAGTTATTTGGATATATACCCAAATCCAAATGAAATCTAAACTCTTCCATGAATCAAATTACAGAATAAATCAATATCAAAGGAATAAGGAAAAGAAGAAACTTCAAAAAGAATAAAAAATAGATTGGTAAGCAGGCATTATAGTACAGATCTAAATCATAGGCGGATCCAGAGTATGCAATTTATTAGTTAAAATAACGATCTAAAGATAATATTACCATAATACTTATAATTTTTTTTAAATATAAATAAGGTTTTGGGCAATAGCTATTGAATTCAGGTAATTAAACTAGTAACTAATATATTACATCTGCATAGGGATAAAACCCTGCCTAGATCTGGAGTGAAAGAGAAAAAGAAAATATCTAAGGGTTAAAAAGTTAAAGGCTCAATAAAAAATATACAGATAATTAAAGAAAATATAATACTAGAGGAATGTTGAAGATTGTCACAGCAAACAGTACAAGAATATTGTAATAGTAGCATGGTAAAGTGTAAAGGGATTTAAGCTTTTTTCACAATAATAACCAATAAAATATTCTAGTCAACTCTTAGCAACTGTATATATCTTATTAATTTTATAGGAGGAAAAATATTAAATTTAAGAGGATGACACGAAGATAACTAAGAAAATAAATTATTATCCACCAAAAAAGACTGAGAGCCATAAAAATACAGATCCTGTTGAACTCTCACTTAATTAAATTAATTCATATGCATGCAGTGTTAGATAAGTGTAATAATAATACACTTTTTTTTGGGTATCAGATATATAGGATTTAATTAAAATAATTAAAACTGAGACCACATATAGGGTAGGTAGTAGGATATGATCTTTTTTTTTTTGCTTAACATTATTATTGTGTTATTATTGAAAATGAAAAAGAAGAGTTCTCTAAACTCTAAAGTAAGACAAGAATAAAATTAACAAAAGAATTGCTTTATTCTTAAACTAATAACTAATTTATTAATATTACCAGCGAACCAATGGAATTAGGACTAAGTGCAGTCATGTCAGATTTTTTATTCTTATCTTTTTAATATTGTTTTCAACTTGTACTCCTGACAAGAGTATACTATTTAAATAGATTAGGTTTAACAAACAATCCTCTTTTTTGTGGTTATGAAATCAGACTTTATTGTTATAGAGATCCACTCTTTCCTTTAGCGTTTCTTAATGTCATGTTGTTTTTAGTCGATCGTCTATTGGAAATAATTTTTTTTTCTTTTTTTAGTCGAGGGTCTATTGAAAATAACGTCTTTATCTGCGTACACGTTATTTTCTTCAAACCCAAAACTCACTGAATTTGTTATTGTTGTTGTATTATTATAGATATCACAAATAATTTGATTAAAATTTGAGTGAATTCTAAATTACCCTCTTAAATAGACCGGATCGCTATACTCCAACAATGGATACCATATGATCAATACTTCACTTATTGAAAGAAAATATCACTTGAATTAGCCCTATGAGTAAATTATCTCAATTAGATTTTTCTAGATTTGTGATTGGAAAGAAAAAAGAGATTCGTTTAGCTTATTTGCTTGATTATTGACATAGAAAATGGTGTTTAATTTATGGAAGTGTCATCTTGATTTATATCCTCTGGCAGATACATTTAATGTGAAATTACTAAAAAATTGCTCCAAAAAAGAGTTCCCTAATCAACTTAATTTGGATTGACGATCCAAAGTCATTGAGACTTTATTAAAAGAAAAATAAGGAACGACACTAGAAATAGCTCTTCCAACTTTAGATTAATATTAGGGTAAATTACATTAAAATATTTATGTAATTGAAGCTGATGGCAAAAATCTTTAAATTAACTCTTTGATAACCATCAAAGATTATAGTGAGATGACTATGATCCCTTCACTCTCAATTAAATGTTTCATGTTCAAGCTATGAGGATGGAGAAAATCCTGATATGGAATACTCACCTTTTAACGAGTCTTATGCGATACAAATCTGAATTAATCAGGACCCTAATGCAGATACCGACATTCGGTAAACCAAAAAAAGTTATTTGATAGAACATCAAGAATTAGGAAAGTTATCCCAAAAAATAGTAGTTGATGAGTGGATGTTGGTACATGGGCCATTTGGGACACCAACAATGAATTTTCATTTGTCATAGGACTAACAACCATGAATGCAATGCGAGTGTTGTAGGTTCGAGTCACCAAATAAGCAATAGCTACAAAAGTGGATAAAGGGAATCAAAGGGGACAAGAATTAAAAAAAACGCAGTGCCAGTGTTATGCATCTGAATCCTATTGGCATTGCCCTCTTTATTGACCCATTAAGGGATTGTTACATAAATAGCCGATTAAATTCAATTTTTACTTTTTCTAACCGGTATATATATTTTTTAAATGTAAGAGATTAAGTGGACGGCTATTTGGATTAATTTTCATCCATCATTAATTGTGTAAAAAACGAATGTTTGGCCATGGAAAGAAAGGGTGAAATTCAAAAATAGCTAGATTTACAAGTGGTAATTGAAAAATAGCCACAGTTTCAAAAGTGATAGAAATTTAGCCACTTTTTATGTAAAGATAAATGTGAACGAAAACACTGTTCAAAATCCAAAAAATATTCCAGCATAATATACCAGAGTTTGAATTTTTTACATGTGAACTTCTAGCATAATATACTGGAGTTCCAGCATAATATGCTGGAAGTTCATACACAGGTGCTCAATCTCCAGTATATTATGCTGGAACTTTCCGTGTGCTGGAGTTTCAGCATAATATGCTGGAAGTTCATACACAGGTGCACCAATATCCAGTATATTATGTTGGAACTCTCCGTGTTGCAGCAAAATAGTGATTATTTTTTAATGACTTTGCAAACACTTGCTATTTTTCAATTATCAGTCCGAAAACTTGCTAGCCCGTGCTATTTTTACGGAAAGAAAGCTTTATTTGCTTTGAATGCACAAACCACTAAACTAGCCCAGAGAGAGGCCCAAGTTAAGAAGCCCAAGAAGAGCCCAGCATTGTATAACATGGGAGGAGAATGGCCGTAGATTTTCATAATTTGACTATTTTTTTTCCGGAAAAAAAATTCTGCAGCTTCATTTGGATGTAAAAAAGTCTCATAATTTTCTGTGAAAATTAAAATAGTATATTAAAGTCAAGAAACCATGAGAAATGCAGGTGTTTTCTTGAAAGAAAAAGAAATTGTAAAATGAGCTTAACCAACATTTATACAATATAAAGAATCTTTATACAATTAGATTATATTTACCTTTTGTAGCAGGCAAACTATTTTGTTTTCAAGATTATATAAGGCTCATATTTTAAAGATGTTTACTTGTAGACATCTTTTGGTAACCGGATAGTAAATAATTCTATACATCGTATGTTGTCTATAAATTAACTCTTTTAAAATAAACTGCAAAAGAAATGTTTTATAACATTTAAAGCATTTACTGGTTGAAGTTGGAGCCTCTTCAAAAGTATTACTAGCAATTGAGAGAAAAAACAATATAAAACTTGGACAAAATCCCTTACTTGTATTGGATTTGAACCGTAGACCTGAAAATCTCATTACCTTTCCAATTCCTCTTTATAAATAACTGTATAGTCACTCTTAAAATAATAGCCAAAAAATATGTATTTTTTGTATATATATATATATATATATACACATTCCGTATGTTATATACAAACGTTATACAAATTTTATATACTTTTTCGTCTATCGAATATAAATAATTTCTGGCTCGGTCTAAAACTGAAAAAAGTTCAATTTTTAACTATAAAAAATAGTTTAGACGATTTTAGTGCAATAAAATAAAAGTTGATTGATCGTTCGTGAAATTACCTGTTTAATTATCATTAAATGTAGCAAAATTTTACATAAATCCAAAAGCAAATATTTAACTCGATATCTCTATATCATGCCCCAATGCCACCAATATTATTAACGTTGACAAGTTCAAAAGGGGAAATAAACAATAACTCAGAAACAAAAGTTGGCTACTACAATCTACAACATAGCTTCTTCAAGTACTAATTATTGTCTTATTTCAAAAGCAATAGTGTTTTACCCCATAGTATAAGAAGGGGTTGGCAAGTTAATAACAGTGGTCTTCACTTTGGTCATCATGTTAATGCTGTTAGTAATCCCTTGTGATCCAATTCCACTGTCCTTAATTCCCTGTTAAGCAAATTTTTACCTCTATTACTAAGAACCTATCGCGAAGATAATCATAATTTAACTAGTTTAGAATATGAAGTTTAGTTTACCTGGAATGGAAAATGATCCGGTCCACGAGCCGGAGCCGAGTTAATCTGAACTGTTCCTGTTTCCATGGCATCACTGATCAGTATTGCTTTGTTGATGTCTTTGGTGAATACACAACCCTGTAGCAGAGTCAAAATTTTCAACTTCATATGCTAAATGTATTGCCAATGGAACATCAGATGAAGTAATGGACACGTAGAATTGTGCGAAAAGCTTAAATTATTAGAAAGAACAAAAAAAAGGGTAGCTAGCTGCATAAAGCATCCCGTGTTCACGCAGGATCCGAGGAAGGGCCACATCCAAGGGGTGTGATGTAGACAACTTACCCTAATGCAAGCATTAATGGCTGGTTGCTTCCACGCGTGACCTATATAGGTCATATGGAGACAACTTTGCTGTTGCTCCAAGAATCCCCTTCATTAGAGAGAACACACTTATTACATTATGTCTCCAATACGCACCATCACATGTGGCCTAATTCTTTTTCATGGGCTAAGGACGTAAAAATTCCTTTTGATAATAGGTGGCGGTGAGACTTGAACGCATTAACTTGACATGTTCTAATACCATGCTATTTGACTATCTCATAAAAAAAATTAAGTTGCTACAGAGGGCACACTTGTATTTTACTTAATTATGTTTTCAACACACGTTATAATAGAAATCGAGACAGTACCTGTAGACCGAAATTGCTAGCGTTGCAGTGGTGAATTCCTTCTTCGACAGAGTTGATCCGAATAACAGGCAAAACTGGCCCAAATGGTTCTTCCCATGCAATCCTCATGTCTGGCCTAACATTGTCTAACAACAAGGGCCAGATGAGGTTGCCTTCTCTCTTGTATTGCTGGCAAAAAGTTGCATTTTTCTGCTTCGCGTCCATGACCAACCCCTCAATGAAGTTTGCAGACGACTCGGAGACAACTGGAGTGATATCACAATCATCTTCTGGTGGCCCGACGGTTAATTTTGCCACTTTAGCGTTTACCTTCTCAACAAGAGTGTCAGCAACTGATTCCATCACCAACACGACCTTAACGGCTGTGCATCTTTGACCGCTGTGGTAGACATGGATATCAATTGTTAATGAAGTATTGCCAAGACAATCAGGTACTTAAGCAAATTAAGCTTATTCATGTTGTATCGACATCGTCCAACTCCTAATTCATGTTATAATATCACTTATCGTACGCGTAATAATGAACTATACAACAATGTATACAAGGGATGGTTTTCAATGGCCTCATACTAATGCAGTTGTGAGCACTTGTTCGTTAACCTATAGCAGCGAGACCAACAGTCGAACCCCATTTCAATATTAACATGTTTTGTTTCGAGGAAAGAAAATTCAAATACCTGTAAGAAAAACCTCCTTTCACAATACTTCCGGCGGCCAAATCTAAATCAGCATCCTCCAGAACAATACAAGCATCCTTTCCTCCGAGTTCCATCTGTAGAGGGATCATTCCTGCTTTCTTTGAGATTGCAACACCGGTATCTCCACCAGTGAAGCTGATAAAAGAAAAACAAGTATACAGTTACGCGTTGGATACAAAATATCAAGAACGGGACAAAGGACCTCATTTACTCAGTAGTGTCTTTTGCAGTCTATGCAGGGGCGGAATTAGTGTGTAAGATACACGTTCGGCCGAACCTTGTAAGTTTGGTCCAAACTCTGTATTTGTTTTAGGAAATCCATTTAATAAAGTACAAATTATTAATTTAGAATTCAGTAACTTAAACGGTCTAAAATCCCGAATCCATAAGCTTCAAATCCTGGCTCCGCCCCTGAATCTAACGAAAAATCAAAACAAATGCAACTATGAGAGCAACATAAAATAGATGAGGTACAATTTACCTTATACAGTGTACTCCGGGATGCATAGTGAGAAAATCACCGATTTCAGAACCTTTTCCCGTCACACAACTGATAAGGCCTTTCGGAAATCCAGCTAAGTGGAAGCAATGCACCATATGAAGGCAAGCCACAGCACCCTGTTAGAAATGATCCTTCAAAGTAAGTTTAACCTCATATTGATATTAACCTCATATTGATACTTTGTTTTCTCAGTTAAACGATCTCATATGAGCAATTTATAGAACAGAAAATTCTATGTTGCGTAGACTCTCCAAAATGCCGCCGCACACGTGTCAGATCCTCCAAACATGCACTACTTTGTGAGGATCCGACACGCACCCGGCCGCATTTCTTAAAGTCTGAGCAACACAGACGGGAAATGCTTAATATGATGAGTGGCGAAACTATATATGAGTTACTGTATTATAATACATTGCTAATATAAGGCAGAATTTAGTGAAGAAACCTGAGTTGGAGGCTTGAGAACTAAAGAGTTCCCAGCAATTAGTGCAGGAGCGATCTTGGAGACAGCAAGATTGACTGGATAGTTGAACGGAGGAATGGCCAAAATCACACCCAACGGGATCTGTACTCCAAGGACGTGAAGGTCATAATCAGTATTTTTCCAATAAACTTACTTAATATCAATACTTTAAGAACAAAATGTGAGTTTCAATCTGTATTTTGCTACTGAAAACGGAAAATTTACAGAAGATACGCAGCCACTTATGCAGTTAGAAATGCCAATACAGCAACTCATAAGAACAATACAACAAAATATCCTGGCGATATAATACCACTACAATAACATTTCCAACGGGTGACACAAAGTCGTCGTATTCATTGGACGAGCTCATTGATCCAACAATTTATAAAGATGTAAAGCCATCTTGCTTTGAAAAAACAATGAAAGGAAAATAGTAGACAAGTCGTTAAAATATATTAATCCTCTGACTAACAATGCAAATTGATGACTACACTAAGCGACAACTTAATAAAGCAAAATTAAATAAATTAGTCAAGAAATGTACCTTGGAAGTCAGGCAGTATTTGGTCCTTTCATTTCCAGGGAAACTATCAGATACCAAGAACTTACCCTCCCCGAGAATTCTAACTCCTTCTTCAGCAGTGTAAGAAACCAAATCTCCAGACCTTACAACCTTCATCAAATCCACGCCGTTATCAGTCGATAAAGCAATTAAAATTTCCAAAATCATATAAATAAAAAATTATTTATACAATCAGATCATGACTGTATGATAAACATTTAGCAGTAACCTGGTAAAAATATTGCATGACATACTATCACAACATATTAAACAACACTGATAGTGTAAAGAATCTTGACACTGACATGCTATGTGTATATAACTTTAATCCTATTTTTAATTCTGTTGCTCGTTCTCTCCGAAAATGTCTCCGGGTGCGTGTCGGTTCCTGCAAAAATAGAGTATTTTTGGAGGATCCGACACAGGTGCGGCAACATTTCGAAAAGTCCGTGCAACATAGAATTTTTTTAATCATGAGGTACCTCAGTGACAGCATCTTTAGCTGGTTTTGCAATTTCTTTTACAAGACATTCTGCAATAGGTGCTTTGTGTTCTTTCAAAATTGCAGCTGCCTTATGAAGTAGCTCTGCTCTTTTCCAAAGTGGTGTTTTAGCCCATGATTTTTGTGCTGCTTTTGCTACTTCCATTACCTTGTTCACCTCTTCTTGTGTACATGCTGCACCAAAAAAGCAAAAATTCCAAAATATCCATGAAATCCCACACTTATTTGTTGGTTAATTTCTGCAATAAATTCTTAAATTTCCAAGACAAGAACACAACAACAACAACAACAACAACAACAATATACTCAGTATAATCCCACATAGTAGGGTTTGGGGAGTGTAGTATGTACGCAAACCTTACCCATACCTTGTGGAGATAGAGAGACTGTTTCCAATAGACCCTCATAAGCACCATATAAGGGCATGAAAACAACAACAACAATGTATCCAGTATAATCCCACATAGTGGGGTCCGGGATGGGTAGTGTGGACGCAGACCTTACCCCTACCTTGTGGAGATAGAGAGGTTGTTTCCAATAGACCCTCGCCTCAGTAAAGCATAAGCAAAATATAAGGGCATGAAAACAACAACAACAATGTACCCAGTATAATCCCACTATGTGGGGTTTGGGAAGGGTAGTGCGTACGCAAACCTTACCCATGCCTTGTGGAGATAGAGAGGTTATTTCCAATAGACCCTCGGCTCAGGAAAGCATAAGCACCATATAAGGGCATGAAAACAACAACAACAACAACAACAACAAACAACAATGTACCCAGTATAATCTCACTATATGTGGGTATGAGGTGGATAGTGTGTACGCAGATCTTACCCCTACCTTGTGGAGATAGAGAAATTGTTTCCAATAGACCATCGGCTCAGTAAAGCATAAGCACCACATAAGGACACGAAAACACTTGGATGCAAAACTAAAAATAGTCCATGCATAAGTTCTTTTATATATTAGAAAATAATTTTACAAACTATGCACTGTTAGTATAAATGTTACACAATCAAGTCACTTACGGGCAATTATAGGCAAATATCTACAATAAACATTAATCGATGACCTGATAAAAGCAGTAACCTGCTATAAAAGGTTAAACTACACGGATAGTGCAAAAAACTGCGTATATTACTTGAATACATTAGAAAAAAGAGAATCTAGTAGTACTATAAGTTCTTGGCTGTTTCCCACTTCACAGTCTGACCAATGATCATAAAATTCAGAACAGAACAATTAATTCTGAAGTGGGAGCTACAGTACAAAAAATTCCAAAGTACTTGCACAAAATTTCATGAACACCAAAAACATCAAAAACCTTGATATTTTCACCACAATAATTTACAACAACAACCAGTGCATTCACACAATTGGCGTTTTGGGAGAAAATATATACGCCGACCTTACCCTTACTTAGGTAAAGAGGCTGCTTTCGATAGCTCCTCGACTCAAATAAAAGCAAAATCATAGCAATTAAGACAAAAAACTGCAGAAAGAGAAACAATAACAACAACCAAAAATAATATAACTGAAGCAAAAATTTGAAAAAAAAAGAGAGATTCATTTTTAACATACCTTGAACCTTGTACTGGGTTTTTCTAGTAGTAGGATTGATGATTGCAACAGATTTTCCAGAAGCTGATTTTTTCCATTCTCCTTCAGAATAGTACTTAAACACATCTCCCTCAATTATATCTACAAAAACTCCATTACCTGCCATTTTTACCAATCAACCAAACCTTTTTATTTTTACTAAGAAAAGAGAAGAGAAATTGTGGATATATTTTATGATTTTAGTGGTGAATACAAGAGTGAAGTGAGTGAAAGAGTGAGTTCTTGTTTGGTTTTTGTTGTGTCTATAAATATTGGAGAAAGGTGAGCCACACTTAATACTGAGCAATTTGAGACATGGATTCTGGTTTGGTATTTGACATTGTTTTTGGTGATTATTTACGAGATTGACATCATGATCTAGCAGTTAGAAATTAAAAGTTAGTTGAGACACGTTTCTTTTAGAACGGTCCACTTGGAAAAGTTTCATGGCTTTATACTTTTTCTTTCTTTTTGATATAAATCTTTTTATTTACAATTCTTTTGTATTTATTTACAATTATGCATCGCATGTGGTTTCAAGCCTTCTATTATTTAATTTTTTTATTTATTTAGGAAGGTGCCTTTATTTTTATTTTTATTTTTTTTTATCAAGAGGGAAGGGCTTTATATAGATGAAATATGCGGTTGTGTTAGAAATGCAACTACTCCTATTTGATGGTACACAAAATTACTAAGAGTGCAATATTTCATATGAATCATAGTATGAGATTATTAGGACTACAAGATCCAATTAGATTAACAACAAAATTTTATAAATTGTGTACGGGTAAAATTAGGGGCAGAGTTTTCCCCGATTCCCCGATGAGGAAACAAAGGGGAAGCACAACTCGACGTGATTATAATTGAGGCCCAGGAGCCCCTCATATCGAAACCCGGGAGGAATGAATGATGTATCTGAGATCGGGAACAGTGGAATAACGGACCCAAATAAAGTACATCTTCAGGACCTCGGGAAACGCGGAGAATAGTTATGCATGACGAGTAGGGGGCCGTAATGTTTGGCCTCAACCGGATATTACATCGCGAATCGCGTCCAATATCAACTGCGGACCAACACTTACTGGAAAAAGAAATTTTTTACCTTATTTAGACTTGTACTAGGACTGAAATTCTCCTACTATATAAAAGGGAAGGTTTTCTTTATTCTGACACGTTGTGACACGCAAATCAAATCAAAGCAATAAAAATTTATTTTTGTCTTCTAGCTATTGTTCAAAGTGTTATTCATTTGTTCTCTTCTTTATTCGCGACCGAGTTTGTAACGAAGGTCCGATCGAGGACGAATTTCACTGTTCAACCTAAAATCAAGGTTGGTCATCACATTGCGATTGGTTTGATCATTTATTTTATCTTTAACTTATTTACTTGTTGTTCTTAATCATTCGTATTGAATTAAATCACATATCCTTTAAACCGCGTACAAATTTAATTGTTACTCATTTTTGGGGGTAAACAGTTTGGCGCCTACCGTGGGGATAAGAATAATAGTGGTGATTTGATACGAATCTCCATAACACACCCTATTTTATGCTTGTTCTTTGAAATTTTGATTCCAGGTTAGCCTAAGGATGTCAAACTCTCAGTCTGCTCACTTGAACGTTGACGCTGAGTCAGGCCATCATGGTGAGAATAATAATGTGATGCCAAGCATTGATGTGCCTCCTGTCAATCCCAATGGTGTCCAGCCGTCGACCCGGTCGATGCTAACTCGCAGGTGTCCATCAACATCAATTTAGTAACTGATCTCGAAAACATCGTTCGTGAGGGACCCCGACCAGCGGCTCGAGAAATGTCCGAAGATGAAGGTGATGGGGTGAGCCTGCAGTTGATTTTCGAAATGTTGCAGGCTCAACAAGTGGCGATAGCACAGTTGTAAAACCAAATCCACCCTCCTAACAGGGTCAAGCCCGGACAGTCCCGGGAAAATACTCTAAGGGATGAACAAGTTGTCGTGGAACCAGGGTGAATTCAGGCCCGAGGAAACTTCATGCTCGAAGCATTGAAAAAATAGGTAGAGTCAGGCGAGAAAAGGATTGAGGCCAACGACAAGAAGGAGGAAACGTACAACTCCAGGGTCGATCAAATCCCGTGAACACCTCCGATATTAAAGGGACCAGACTCCAAAATATTTATTCAGAAGCCTTTCCTCCCGAGCGCGACGCCGATCCCGAAGAGGTTTTGGATGCTTGACATTCCCAAGTATAATGGGACTACAGATCTAAATGAGCATGTAACCTCCTATACATGTGCGATCAAAGGGAATGACTTGGAAGACGACGAGAACGAGTCAGTGTTGCTGAAATATTTTGGGAAAACCTTATCCAAGGGGGCAATGATATGGTATCACAACTTTTCTCAGAATTCTATCGACTCATTTGCTATACTTGCAGATACTTTCGTAAAGGCCCATGCCGGAGCCATCAAGGTCGAGACCAGGAAGTCAAACCTTTTCAAGGTCAAACAGAGGGATAATGAGATGCTCAGGGAGTTCGTGTCAAGGTTCCAGATAGAACGGATGGATCATCCACTAGTTGCGGATGATTGGGCCGTTTAGGCATTCACTCAAGGGCTCAACCCCTGAAGTTCCGTGGCCTCTCAACAGCTAAAGAAAAACTTGGTGGAGTATCCAGCGTCACCTGAGCCGACGTCCACAATAGATATCAGTCAAAGATAAGGGTCGAAGACGACCAACTCGGGGACCCTTCGGGATCTATTTACCCCATCAGAACCGATGACAGATCTAAGAGAACCATTGATCAGGAGTTGAGGTCGTCCGAGATCGATATCAGCCGTACAGTGCGGATCGGAGGGGAAATGGATCCAAGCGCCACCCAACGAGGAATGAGAAGAGGACCGAGCGGACGAGGCCTGGTGATCAAGAGCGGGTTTGACAGGTCGCTCGGGAGTAGGGTGGCACTAAGATTATTGGAGTATAAATTCAATGTGGAAGCTGCAAGCATAGTGTCAGCCATAGGGCGCATCAAAGAGACTAAGTGGCCCCGACCGTTGCAGTTCGACCCTGCCCAAAGAGATCCTAATTGGATATGTAAGTACTACGACACTCACGATCATAGGACCGAAGATTGCTGACATTTAAGAGAAGAAGTTGCTTGATTGTTCAACAATGGGCACCTTCGAGAATTCCTAAGCGAGCGAGCCAAAACTCACTTTAGAAACAGGGACGCCAACGAACAAGTCGAACAAGAGGAGCCTCAGCACGTAATCAACATAATTATTAGGGGAGTCGATATCCCCCAAGGGTCGATGATAAAACACACTAAAATGTCTATCACAAGAGAAAAATGTACACGGAATTACGTCCTGGAAGGAGCTATCTCGTTCAACGACGAAGATACCGAGGGCATTGTACAATATCATAATGATGCACTGGTAATATCTGTACTTATCAATAAATCTCAGGTTAAGTGTGTGTTGATTGATCCAAGTATCTCGTCCAACATCATCAGATCGAGGGTTGTAGAGCAACTAGGGTTACAGGATCAAATCGTACCGACGGTCCGGGTATTGAATGGATTCAATATGGCGTGCGAGACCACGAAAGGTGAGATAAATTTACCGATAAACACTGTCGGGACCACCCAAGAAACAAAGTTCTACGTGATCGAAGGGGATATGAGGTACAACACTTTGTTGGGAAGGCCGTGTGTCCACAACATGAGGGTGATGCCTTCGACCTTACACCAGGCGCTGAAATTTCCCACTCCGGGGAGAGTCAAAATGGTTTACGGAGAACAGTCAGTCACAAGGGAAATATTCATTGTCGATGAAGTGATCCCGATGCTCGCGGTTTCAACATCAAAAAGCATGGAACCGACCAAAAAAGAAGAAACTAAATAGCAATCAATGATACCAGCCTCAGTCGAGTCGGAAAAACAGAAAGAGCACGAAGCAGATGATGAGGAAGATTACAGTGTCCCGAGATCATTCATAGCACCCGATGACCAAATCCACGATCAAGGAGTTGTAGCAAGTTATATTGATTGAGCACGTACCGGATCGAAAGGTATACTTGGGCACAGGGTTAACCCCCTAACTCAGGAAAAAACTTATTGATTTTCTTAAAGCTAACGCCGATTGTTTTGCATGGTCCCATATAGACATGACCGGGATCCCATCAGAGGTAACCACTCACAAGTTAAGCATGGATCTGAAGTTCCATCCGGTTAAGAAGATGACAAGGCCACAGTCCGAGATCAAACACGCATTCATCAAGGGCGAGGAATCCAAACTTTTGAAAATAGGTTCCATCTGGGAAGTTAAATACCCGGATTGGTTAGCTAATGTAATGGTACTGCTTAAAAAAAGAAATAAACTGAGGATGTGTGTGAATTATAAGGATCTAAACAAGGCACACCCAAATGATTCTTTCCCTTTGACTAACATCGATCGAATGATCGACGTGACAACGGGACACGAGATACTCAGTTTTCTTGATGCCTACTCTGGGTACAACCAAATTTGGATGGACCCGGGATCAAGTAAAGACTTCTTTCATAACCAAATTCGGCACATACTGCTATAACGTAATGTCGTTCAGATTAAAGAACATTGATTCCACATACCAACGTCTAGTCAACCGGATGTTCGAAGAATAAATAGGAAAATTAATGGAAGTTTTATTGATGATATGTTGGTCAAATACCTGCGAGCAGAAGACCATTTGAAATATTTACAGGAAACCTTCGACATATTGAGAAAGTACAACATGAATCTAAATTCGGAGAAGTGTGCATTTGGGGTCAGCTCGGGCAAGTTTCTCGAATTCATGGTATCTAATCGGGGAATAGAGATCAACCCTGACAAAATAAAGGCCATAGAAGACATCATCGTAGTCGACAACGTCAAGGCAGTACAAAGATTAACCGGGTGGATAGCCGCGTTGGGTCGGTTCATCTCAAGATCGTCGGGTAAGAGTCATCGATTCTTCTCACTATTGAAAAAGAAGAACAATTTCTCTTGGACTCCGGAATGCCAACAAGCTTTGGAAGAACTCAAGCAATACCTACCGAGCCCTCATTTGCTGCACACTCCGAAGGCAAATGAACAACTGTACCTCTACTTGGCAATTTTCGATGTGGCGGTAAGTGGTGTCCTAGTCAGGGAAGAAAAAGGTAACTCATTTTCCTATTTATTATGTTAGTAGAACCCTAGGCGATGCCGAAACAAGGTATTCTCACTTAAAAGAATTAGCGCTCGCCTTGCTAAACGCTTCTAAGAAATTAAAATC